ATATTTGTTGAACAGCAAGATAGTTCTTAGTTTTACGCGTTTTTCTATGTACGTCTGGAAAGTTGAGCACTATCCAATTACACGTAGTAGCATGGCAAATGGTATATTCTTCTTCATATGTAACGAATTGATGCTGTTAAAGGGAATAAAGTATTGTTAGTAGGATGGTTTCTGAAATACTTTAGTAAATAATACGCCGTCTTTATTTTCCATAGAAAAATCCTAGAAGTTTGCCTTTATGATATTATTTTCAGATAATTTGAGGTTGTCAGTAATACATTCAATTAGACGAATTCAAAGGAGAATACGACGCGTTTCGACCTTTACTTAAGAGGTGTTCATCAGGTATCTTTAGAATTCGTAGTTACATCATTGCAATAGACTAGACTAATTCTCTATAAAGAGAATATTATTCTAGAGATTATAGAATGAAAGCATCACGCGACGCGTTTTGATTCTTGTTTAAGGAATGATCATCAGGCTAGGGATGTACCGAGTATTTCTCGGTTTTTATCCTTTTTTCTCGAGGTTGCTCTCATTATAAGGAATGTGGTACAATTTTGCTCAACATGCATGTTTGTAGAGCAAACATTTTTCTACAAAATGAAAGGTGGACGAGGTTAGTGCGACGTATGGTTTAAGTTTTATTACAGTTCTACCAGAAGCCCTAAAACCGAGACCGAGAGTCTCGGTCTCGGTTTTGGGGCTTTTCAAAAAACTGTAATAAAAATTGAACCATACGTCGCACTAACCTCGTCCACCTCTCATCATTTTGTAGAAAAATGTTTGCTCTACAACACCCAGTTCTTCAAGAGCATTGCCAGCCCTGCATTTTCACAACTAAGAATTTATTTTACAAAAAAATACAAAACAATGTTTTCAGTCTCGATACATCCCTACATCAGGCATGTTAACAATCTATTACTACTTTTCAATTCAAAACTCTTCAATAATAATTTGAGGAAATCAATTTAATTTGATAACAGGCCAACATATCTTCTAACTGAAAGACAAATCAATATGCTCGATCTCAGCTTTTGCTTTTCACCAACCGATAAAAATAGTTGAACGTAATATTCAATTCTCTTGTTACATTCAACAACAATTATAAGAGATAATGCTGAGTTCTGATTTTGGCGACGCGTTTCGTATTTTTCATAATATAGTACTCATCAGGACTTGAGATGAATTTATATCTCTTGGTAAGTTGCAATGAGCCGTTTTTTTGAAATAGAGACGGTAAAGATCATAGTCGAAACAGAACACTCATCATGATAAACGAATATGATTAATCGTCACTATGCAACGGCGAAAATTAATACAAGGAGAAGAAAAAGAGATGATTGAATAAATCCCAAGCAGCATTCCTTTTTACCAACTAGTTCTCTCTTCGGATGTTAAATATTGATCAAATCGATTTCTAAACGATTTTTTTATAAATTGAAATCAAGAAAGTTTCATTTATTGGTGTAGAGGCGGTCATATTCTCGACACCTCCCGCGGATTGGAACAATCCTGGCATTGAATAAGTAAGATCTATGTTATCATTATATTTAGAGAGATAAGAGGGAGCTTTTGATTATTTTGAAAAACAAAAATGGATTTCTATTTTGATAGCAATTGGATAAATTAGCCACTACTTTGTTCACGTTAATCCACACTGTAAAAAAAAAGGGTTTCTACCGAACCCTCCAAAAAGGTTTCGTAGGTGTCTAAAAGCTTCCAAATGCGTCGAAACGCTTAAATAAACGGTTGTTAAAATCTACGAAACCTTAAAAGGATCGGATATCGGGCACAGCTACCGAACCATCTCCTACGAAACCTTTTTTAAGTTCCGTACAGTAGAAAAAGGTTTCCTATTTTCTTACGAAACCTTTGTAGCTTCCTAGTAAACCTTATGGTTTCGTGTAAAATCATAGTGCGAAACCATAGAGTTTAGTAAGAAACTACAAAGGTTTCGTAAGAAAATACGAAACCTTTTTTTGCTGTACGGAACTTAAAAAAGGTTTCGTAGGAGATGGTTCGGTAGCTGTGCCCGATACCCGATCCTTTTAAGGTTTCGTAGATTTTAACAACCGTTTATTTAAGCGTTTCGACGCATTTGGAAGCCTTTAGACACCTACGAAACCTTTTTGGAGGGTTCGGTAGAAGCCCTTTTTTTTTACAGTGCAGCATGCGATAATAGTAGTATATTAAAAAGGGAATTAAGAGGCTTAAGAATTTACAAAAACTTGTGAATATACTCTTTGATATACGATATCATAGTTTTTAGTAAGTGACATGTTTAAACTGAATGTTATGATTTTCGGCGAAATTTGTTTTTCGTCGTCCGTTCTTCTGCTAGCATGAAAATTGTCAGATTCACATTCTACGTTTTATTTTGTAATATGAGAATATACATAGTCGCTGTTTGATAAAAGAAGAAACATGATACATCCTTGGATTTTTCGCAGATCCAATTCGACCCATGCTTTAAAACAATATTTGATTTGTATATCCTTCTATTTTTCTTCTAGAGTTATCAAAGAAATTTCCTTTCTATATATGAGTATGTTAGGTGATTCAAGAAACAAAATGTTCAATTCCTACAGTAGTGTCAAACTTGCAACTTCAATTCAAGTGTTCCACTATGGCATCAAGTATTCAAGCTTCCAGAAAAAACAGACTCTACGGAGCATCCTCATTAGCGCCATAGAATGGAAGACCCTGTCACACTTTCACTATCACAGTAGACTTATAGAGATCTCAGTGAATAATGAAGGAATAGCTACGTATGTCTAAAGTTGAATACTTGAATTCAAGTTTCAACTAAGACATGTATCGTTTTCTTTTTTGTTTTCTTATCGTTAAATGAAAAATCGATTCTCGTCGAGTTCGCGAATTTTTTTATTAACGAATCGAAAAGAAAAAACAAAACGATACATGTCTTAGTTGAAAGTTGAAACTTGAATACTTGAAGTGATAATTGAATACTTGGCTTCAAGTTTCAAGTTTGGCATGTATGCCATCGTCATGCCACGAGGGACAGTCTCATCATCAATAACAATTGGTGTGATGTTAGTTTGCTCATCGGAATCAGAATCCATTGTTAGTAAATGAGTAAATGACGGGTAAGTATGTGTGTACTCGATCTTCCTCGAGTAGATTTTTCAATTTATATTAGCATCGCAGATTAGTCTATTTATACCAAAAGACAATCGGATATATTAATACAGTAGAGAGGTGAATATCGTTAACATGATAGCAGAAATCGATTGTTGAAGCCTAGGGGTGAAATTAATGTCATGAAAATAATAATAGAGTGAACGCATAGATCTAGAGAAAAAAATATATTATGATAGCGAAAATAAAATACGGAGTGAATACACAGGATTCGAGGTTGAATTATGAACACAGTGATGTTATGACCGAATCGATAGTGATTCCCAGATGAAAATATCGTCCCGATAATAATAAGATATTTTTCGCATGCACACACATTTGAATTTTATCTAAGGAATATCTACAGGGCTCCATCAGATGTAAACGAAATTGAAAAAGTGGAACTGGTTCGGAGCAGGAAAAAATACACGCTCCGGTGCCGGTTCCTGCTCCCAGAAAATTATTTCAGAGATAACTCTGGCTCCAGTGCTAACTCCATATCAAAGTGGAGTCGTGTCGGCTCTAGAGTCTGAGCTGCCCATCTCTGCTCAGTTATTATCGTTTGCTATTGTTAAAGACATGTTACTTGCACGTCCGCACATTACTAATATAATAATTGCCTCATTATTTTGTGTTGCGTAGTTTCTTCCTCCTTCGTCACTCATTTGTTTCTCATACATATTTTCCTCCTCTTTTCGTTTTTGTGTATAAGAAGACAACCTTTTTTTTTAAGAGAAGAGAAGAAAAATCGAATGAAGGAACCGAAGGGGAACTTCTGATAGTTTGTATAAAAAATTATCGATTCTAACACATTGTTTTTGCTTATAGATCGCATTATTCCTTTCAAAATGGGGAATGAATTCCAAAAGATCGAAAACCGATTGGATAATGTTGAGAGAAGTACAATTGAAGGCGTTGAAGCTATTGAGAATTATGCTGAGACACATGCTGATACTGGAAATATTTCTAAATATGAAGCTGAGCTTCGGAATCGTACACAGCAATTACGGGATAAGAGTAATCGTGAACTCAACAGCATTCGCGAAGACGTCGACAGGAAGCGCCCGTCTCCGAACGATAAAAATTATCAACAAAAGTTAAATGACTACGAAGCCTTCAAGAAGCGTGCTAGTGGTGTAATTGGTTCGTTGCAGCAGACTTTCTCTCGATTGTTCGCAGAATTATTTGAAAGTATAAGAAAAATAATTAAATGGGTTGGTGATCATCCAGAGGAGGCAATCCGGGCGATTTCTACCCTTTTTACCACTGTAATCCTTCCTATTTTAAAGAAATAGAAGAAGAATAAACTCCCCAAGATGTGTTTGATTGTTATTTCTCTAATCGCAAGCTCCATATTAATATTGCTCTCATTTTAGATATAAATTGTACGAATCTAAATGGCTGAAAAGTCACCGAGCCAAAGTAATGAGAAGAATTCCAGTGAAAATCGTTTTTTCGGTTCCTTTCAGCTGCAAAAATCGAAGAAAACAACGCAGCAACAATATCCAGTAGATAAAAACAGTGGTACTGGTCACAGTACTGAAACGGTAATTTACCATAGTCAATCATTTTTCTCTTATTTATCATATACTTATAAATTTAAGATATATCCGAGTTCGTATCAATAGCGTAGTCTATTAGTTGAGGAACATTGACTGTGATTTCTCTTATCCGATACATACTTCAGTGAGCACTGAACTCTTTCGTTTTAGGAAACTCTAACATTAACGCAGCAAATTCAACAAAAATTGCCTACTTTAATTTTGCGTCTACGAGAACGATACAAACAACAGGTGAATAAAAAATCAGGCGGTAAAGGAGAAGATGATTTACAGCAGAATATCGAATCATTTCGCAACATGCTATTTCGAAGTATCGATGAATTTGAAGAGATTGTTTTCAGTGCTCGACCATCGCCGAATACAGTCAACGATCCATACTATGAACGACAGAAGGAAGCTTATCGTGAACTGCTCAGAACCGCCTTAGCTCTTATCTCACAAATGACAGAAACTCTAAACCAAGTATTTGCTGAATATCGGATATTTATCCAAGACTTATGGGAAGCAATTTCCAATGGTCGAGATTCAGCACCTATCGTCGACCATTTTCAACAACGAGTACAGGACTATTTAAAACAATCATGGGATCCTATATTTGCTCGTGCCAATCAAATGGTTCAAGACATCGAACAATTAAAGCAAAACTCATAGTAATAAATAAGGGTAAGCTATGGCAGCCATAATCGGTTTCCTCTCCGCTACGAGACTCATTAGATGACATTCTTGCTATTAATATTTGTTCAATTGATTAAAATAAAAAATTTTGAAATAAAATTCAAAAGATTTGAAAAAATAAAATTCATAATTAATAAAGAAAGAATTGAAATTCAGAGCCTCACACGATCCGGATTTCGACCTTGCTTAAGGGTCATCCCCAGGTATGTTTAGAATTTCAGAATAATTACATGCAAGTCTTTACTCGCTTAACATACATTAAGGTAGCAAAGGCTTAAACGTAATTAACTAACAACCATTATTTAGAAGTTTGAGATTGAAAGCATCACAGGACGTTTTGACCTTGCTTAAGGGACTCGTCAGGTATGTTTACAATCTATAGTACATATACCTAATACTCTCCAAATACCATACTATGGGCTATTTAATTTCAGTCTGAATTTATCAAATAAAAATAATACTTGATTTCAAACTGAAACGTGAGTCTAGGAGTGAGGGGGGGGAGTGACTGAGGGTGTGGGTGTTGGTCTGGGACCCACACCCACACCCACACCCA